TTCTATGCGCTTTCTATGCTATGAGACATACAGTGGACCTCGTTGGATACGACTTTCGAGCTGTCATGGTTATAGAACTCAAGGGAGCACTTACACTTGGGTGAACTTTCCGAAAGGTCATCGCCCTGCTATCCAGTCCTGCCATGATATGTAAAAAGAAACGCGGTGGAACAGTAGGGATACAAAATCAAGGAAAGTCGATAATCGCTGTTTAATTGTCTGGCGTTATCTCAGGTGGAACTTCCCGTGGTCCATACATTGACAAAGTAACGGTCTTTTTAATGGTAGTCGGAAGTGTCAGTTTAACCTAGCCAGTCTTCTTTTTCTCCTACAACAAACTCGAATCTCTGATCTCATTTCTTGCAGTCGGGCGTGTTAAATCAGTTCAGGTACTTAGGGACGCAGCGGTGGCTGTGTGGAATTCCTTGTTTTCCTTTATAATCCAATGCATGTCTTCGCAGTCTGCAGTTACCTTTTCGTCTAGATTGTCTGCTCAACCGATTATACGCAGCAGCTGGAGTTGCGTAACTTTAACTTGCTATGGCCTGTAAATCATTTCAGAGCACTTCAATCAAGTTTCGCGAAGTCTGTTACTATAGTCCGACCCAGGAAAGAATTTTGCTGAGTGCGTTAACGACCTAGTTCGCGTCATCAAAAATTGACATTTTATGAATCTTTGCAGCCAAATATTGACGAGTCCCATTTTTCGTGTCTTCTGGCTTCTTAAACACTACCATACGTTTTGTAAGGAGGGTTGGGGTGTGCTATTACCGGAGGAATAATTGTCAGCGTTGGCGCATTTAATCCTTTCATTCTTGCGAATTGACTGGTTTTTACCGTAGCATTACCATACGGGAAATGCTTTCTCACTAACGACAACAGATGACCACTGTTTGACTTTTAGAATGTTGACAAAATGTGTTTATCTGCAAATCCTACGTTCTTCACTTCTTCCTTAGCCTGTTTCCTACAACGACATTCTTTAGGATAGAACCCAATTTTGGAAAATATAAATAAGCCAAAACAAGCATTCAAAATTGTCACCTTTTCAGGATTACGGTGCGAAGGTGAATTTTAAAAAGAAACGCGTTGCCTTGGGTGCCTTTACAGGACTGCCTAGCTACAGCCGAAGTTTAGTTAAGCGACTGAATCAACGCATGCGCGAAACTGATCCCGCCTTTAGCGAATTCTATCCAGCCGAGCTCTGCAATCTGGAGTATCTGCCGCAGCGGGGCGCAGCAATTGTCCCGCACCTGGACGACAGTTGGCTCTGGGGTGAGAGGATTGTACTGCTCAATCTAGCCTCCGAGACGAACATGCTTTTTACTCTTCCAGCGAAGTCGGGCCTGCCAACTAATTCGCTGGCAGCGGATGAATGGACTGCTTACAGAGAATTTTCCAGGAAATTTCTGTCGGACGAAGTTGTAAGTTTAATAGTCCCTTTCATGCATTCTTTCATGGTCTATGTCTGATCCGCAATCAACACTTGGACGCTACCTTTAGTGACTAGGGTCCAAAATACCAATATTAATCCACTCAACTGCCGTCGCGTACAGAGCAATTATTTAGCTAGGAAGAGCACGGCCTTCGAGAGGCGTGATCCAAGGTTGCTATATGGTCCGTGATGGCTTCCCATATCCTTTATGTCGAAATACTCTCTGCCTATAATTACAGTAGGTGCCTTCGCATGGGTCGGGAGTCCGAGCAATTTAAGTTTGTAGTTGCTTTGATTTCTCTTCAGTTAATACCAAGGAGATTAACGTTCTAACACAAGCGATGACGTTTGACACCAAGTTTTAACAGATATTGATTGGTGAGGCAGACGGGGGGGGTGATTGCCGAGAAAGGAGTTTTGATAACCCGACTGCTCGGACTCATTTTCCAACTCGTTACCAAAGAGACCAATAGGCAGGTGTGGCAGACGGATGAGATATGCAGTTGCAGCGAAACCACACAGGTGCTAAAGTGATTAATTGGCGCATTCAGTACACTTGCTTTGAGCGCTCTTCCATCGTCGGTACCGATGATTAACGTGGTAAACGCCCGGTGCTTTGGCTCATCAGTACTTCTGCCGGAAATAGCGTTCACGCGCTCTCTCCTCTGTGACTATTCTGCCCAGGCAAGCTGTAAGTATTGAATAGCGAGGCCGAATCATTGCGTCTACTGATAGCTAGCCGCCTAGATAATCCCGACTCGAGCGACTCCTATCTCTAACCTCGATATCCTGCCTGTGTACAAGGGGCGTTTTCCCGTCACATCAGACAGGATGGACTATCTTTAGGCCGAGATCCTACTAGAACATTGTCAATTCACCGTTGTATGTGAATCTACGCCATTAAACGCTGACATGAGCTGTTAGCATGGGTTCGTTGGCAAGTTGGCTCAATATTGTCGACCAGTGGCTGCATGGTGAGAGTTCGAAAAATAGCCTTCGCCCGATGCTATGGTCGTCCTAGGGTGCGCAAATAAGGCAACTCCCTTTGGCCCATTGTACCCCTCAAAGACCCTCTATCTAAGGCGTTGGTATTGGCTGTTTCCATTTCCCAAAATGTTACAGCCAGTTCACTAATATGATTAATTGAGAACCGTACTATCCTACGTCTGCCAAACAAGATTGTGGCATTTGTTAGTGGTGTGTCCACGTTTGCGTCTTTTTCCTGGATCTTCCGATCGCGACCATTGATCTTCCCCTCTATAACAAATATGATGAAATGGAGGATCACATTTAGCGCGTGGTGGAGTTGCAGAAGAAGTAAATACGTCTGAGTAGCTGAGATATTATTCCAGAGTTAGATGAGCAAACGCGCCGCAGCGGTTATAAGGAATAAAATAAAATCCAAGTCGCGGCACCCGATGGGAACCGATAACTTTCTAGTTAGGTGAGGCATACATGTTCGCGAGAGCTGACAGAACCTTGAGCTGCACAGGTCATGGTTCTCAAATCGGCAGTCTACTAACAGCTATAATGACTTTCCTCCACAATAAATGCCCGAACTTTGCCGGTGTAGAGCAATTAGTCGCACACGAGCGCGTGAAAATGCTTCCAGAAAAAGTACTGGTGCTCCAATTAACTAAATGTTTAGCACGCTATTAATCGGTACTGTTAGGACGGCCCAGCACGTGATTCATTATTCTTGTCATCCTGAGGTCACGCTTGACAAAGGAACACGAACAAACGGAAGCGTGCAGTCCCAAAAAGCCGTGAACATGGATAAGAACGTCGTCGAGTTATGCATGTCCCTGAGAGGTCCACCAGCACCCGATGGCTGCTCGGATGAATGTTTTATTAATCACGTCAAGAGGTCTGTGAGGAAGATGTGGGACCCAGGCGTCCGAAAGAGGCAAAAAAACAACCGCTTAAACAACTCATCGTTGACTCAAGCAGGAAGAAATATGAAGTCCGTCTTTCAAAGTGAGCGGCCATGCACTCAAAGCCTATGGCCCGGGGTCATGCGCACAGGCAAACAGCGAACGCTAACGACCGTTCACAGCGTGGGGAACTATCGATTAGAGGGCATACGTAACGATCGTTCACACAACGTGGCAAACTATCGGTCAGCGGCAGGCCAGAACAGCGGTCGCATGCTATTGGGCCAGAAGTATTTTAGAAGGACCAAAGCCTTATGAATATGCTGTAGTGGAAAAGTTAAGAATTTTTTGTTTCTTCTACCTATTGGTCGGGGAGATAACAAGTACTCACATTGAAAGCCCACTCAAGGACTCAAACTGGAAAGACCAACCTATTACCGCAATTAATGCGCTAGCTATCCATTTTAGTAGGTGCGTGGTTTTGTTGCTGCTGCATACCCAATATGTTTGCTGTCTGTCTGTCAATTGGAAAATGAGTCCTAAAAGTCAGTAGACCGAAACGTCTGCCTCGACTACCGAGTCTGTCTTCTTATTTGCATTCTAGCACTTGCCTCCGCACCCGCATTGACATGGGTCTGATCACTTAGCTTCTGCTAGCCAGACTACGTGATCTATTAGGTACTCTTACGTTGCCACAGTTGGCAAGTAGATTTAAGCGGTTGGGTCCTGACCCAAACACGGTGTATCGGGAATCTGAAATTGCGGTGGTTAGATGGACTCGCGTGGTTGCCCTATCATTCATCCGAAGGTGTTTCAGTGGTTGGAATTTAATTTCTACCGCTTGCAACCCGTTCCAGCTGCTGTACATTTATATGTTTTGGTAGAAGTTCTTTGGGAAACGATAACAAACTCCGTGTAACTTTTGGACACTGGCTCACTGGATCGTGTGGAGAATGTACATAACAGTGTGAATCGTAAACATGCCTGAAAAGTCGACAACACTTAGTCATAATTGGCCAGTAGCAGTCTGTGTTTATATATTTACAAGTGTCCGTAATCCACCGTGCAGCGAGTGATGCTAGTTTGGTGGCCGTGACGAAGCCTCGGGCTTCTAGGAAGCTGCAGCTAAGAAACAACGTTCGGCATTAGGCGCTAGGGTTGTTGGTTTGGTATTGGGAGTAGCCACAAGTGCATCAAGCCTATGCCCCATGTTTTGGCGTTACGAGCTTTGGTACATATGAGTCCAACCATCTACCATCTTTCGTTCCTCTAAAGCCTCAGTACAATTATTGAAGTAATTTGACGCTAATATACCAATTTCAGCAAGTAATCCAAACAATTTAAAGCCAAGACCTTTCTACAT